CTCTTTTACCAACGAATAGTGGGACTGACCGTCACATTATAACGGCTGAAAGGGCGAGCATGTTTGGTGTGATGGGGATTCGAACCCACGACCCTCAGATTGCGAGCCGAGCGCCCTAACCACCTGGCCATGCCGGGCCCACCCTTTATTATAAGCCTGAAAACAAAATCTATAGTTTCTGGAGCTTGTAGAGATGGTTACCTTAAATTTGTCAAGGTACTGCCTAAAATACTATTTTTTGCTGCTGGCTTGTACCAATCCAGTCTATACAGCAAATAACTATAATCTAACATAACTCATAATTAGTTCAGTACACTTTTTTTTCACGTGAGAGAATAATTCTGCTGCAAAAACAGAATGGATAAAACTGCAGTAGAAAATTATAACATGCGTTTTTCCATATCTTGATTTGTTTATCTAAACTGCATGGTGACAAGCATGGCCTAATTGTTAAAATACCGGACCGTGAATCTGAGTGTCCATAATCCGCGTCCTGTTGCCGCAAATGCGCTCTCTTTGGGACCGTAGATGCGTTATAAGAGCGGCGGTAAAACCCTACTGTTCGATTAGAATAGTGTTACATTTGGCGATGGACGCCGTTGACTACATGTCCTTACTTATATACTATCAGTTCCAAATTAGGAACGGCTGGCTTTACGATAATATCCCTAACAAACAACCGAACTAACTAAACAGTATGTAAATATGTATACCAAAATAATATGTAAACGTAACACGCACTTAATACCGGAGTATCACAGAAAAACAAAAAATTGCATATAATTTCCGACTGATTCATAATACATTGTTTTCAAACTTCTGTATCCATACTACCATACTATTTTTTGCGTCCTACTTCTGCTTAGTTAATAGAAGTTATAGAGATAATCCATATTTAATTGATAGCATATCAGTGTCAAAGCTATTTATTCCACCAGGTAAGGTAGGTTAAAAGAAGAAAGTTAATAATTGGCATTCTTTGACGTATTGCATATAAATTAAAATACATAACTGAACGATAACCTAAATAAGTTAAAGATCAATAGCTATCTACCGTGAGAAGCATAGCTTTAGAATCGAGCTAATAATAATGCCAATATCATAGAAGTCTTGCACTTGGTAGAAATTAGAAATATGCCATAATATAAGGCCTTATGTATTTAAATTGAATAAATTATCATATTTTAATTTCCAAAAGGCTGCCTTAAAATGAACGACGTAAATAAATTCATTATATATTTGCTTTGTTTCTTTGTTTTACAATTTTTGCTCAAAGCTACACAAAGTACTATCCGTGCTAGTCTTATCTAATTTCAAAATGATATACCACAGGGAAGGTTACTAGTTAACATAATTCGCCGCAAACTTTGGGGTTGATCGAATAGTGAGATATACTTTACCTACAGCATGTTTCTAATAAAAATACGGCACCTACTTACTGCAGAGATTTCAGTATTTTATACAAGCTTTTAATTCGGCAGACGTATCATTCTCTAACTACAAAACCAGCCTCATAAGATTTGGTTTCAAAGTCACAGTTTCCATGAAACTTTAAACTATTATCATTTTAATAATTATATGAAGTTTCAGATTCACAGTTCTGCACGATAGTATAAAGTTTAAACAATTGTTATGTTGTGTCGCCTTCAACAAACTGACGAAGAATTAGTACAGTTATATGTGTCATAAGACATCTTACATTTTTAAACACTATATTTTAATAAAGTCCCTTAAGGATTTTTATTTGTTTGTTTGTTTGTAATTAAGCACAATTCTACACAATGTGCTATCTGTGCTCTGCCCACCACGGGTATCAAAACCCGGATTCTAGCGTTGTAAGTCCGCAGAAATACCGCTGTGCCACAGGGGGGCAAGGATTTTTTATACACTCTTCTAATTCTTGAAAATCCCTAAGTTACTAGATTAAGAATGTGGTATTTAAAAATCTAATAGACCTATTACTAATGTCTTATGACATATATAATTGTAATAATTCTTCGCCGGCTTGTAAAAGGCGTACACAACAAAACAAATCAAATTACTTTTATAAATGGTGTTCCGACCAGTGCTATGTTTGTTGGATTCCAACTGGCCTGAAGATCTCTGGATTGAGCAAAATGCGTCGTTGTCAATGGATATGACAAATATAATGTAGTTGTAATATTATTTTTATACACTTCTCTAAATCATGAAAATCCCGAAGGGACTAGATCAAACATGTAATAGGCTTAATACTAATGTCTTACGACGAATATAATTATAAAGCTTAAGCATAAATTCTTACAGATCTTTATGGTAAAATATGAATGGAAAGCCATAAATGTGAAATCTTGAGATATATAAAACGAGTTTTAAAAATAAAACCAAACACAAAGTTCAAGTTTCTGTTTGAATGGTATACATTTTACAAAAGACAATAAAATTTCTGTTTATAAGTTTTATATCGACTAATCTAAGATAACGAATATTTTGTGATACTTAAGTGTTTTATAAGCTTTCAATCATTTTTATATTGTATCCTAACCCGACTCCTTCCTCTCGTTGAAACGTTTGATTAGATTCTTTTTAATTTAATTTCACAATACAAATATTAATTTTAGGAACTAATAATGTTAATGCAAAATATGAGTAATACAGTCTTAAAGGCTGACATGCAGCTTTACTATAACAAGAGGAAATCCTCAGTAGCCGCGGCACTTCAAATTCTTTTAGGGCAGATTAGAGTAAATAAATATAGGAGCCCCCCCCTTTTTTTTTCCTTTTTATTAACTATATCTTTGTGAAATTATTTTAGGCAATATTAGAATAAATTAATCCATAAGACCATGGGCGTGGTAAAGTGCATCAATGGAATGGGTTTGACCTCCTGAGCCAAAACTGTAGTTAGGTCTCAAATCGTTCAAGAGATGATGGAGTTATGAGCTAAAGTTTGTACTTGAAAAACAACAACAAAAAACTCAAAGCTATATCGCGGCTAAAAAAAAAACCAAACTCTTGAAATATTTACATGAAACGCCCTCTATCGGACACAGTCGATGTTTATAAACAATGAAAGGGGCTCAGTGTTGATAGCACAATAATTTCCAGGTAATGGGTAACAAAAATCTGGAGGTGTTAAGAGTGTTTCAAAGCCTTAATACAAATGCATATTTCACCTTTCAAACTTGTCTTTGTGCTTTACTTTACTTGGAAAAATAACAACTGAACATCGTTTTTTGTCTCAAAGACGACTTTCAACACTCAACAAAATAATATCGCATGCGGCATAATAACTAAGTTTATAGATTTGTACAGAGAAACGGAAACAAAATAATACGCACGTATTACAGTAGCTGCCTTGGTTTTCTAGATAAGAAATCCTGGCCTAACGAAAATATAATATTCAGGATACTATTTAATGACTTTTTTTCTTTCTGATTCTTATCCTTTGTGAAAGCTTTTTAATTGTCACAAAAAACTTCTGGTTGTTTGCATTTCCAGGCCGGGCGTGACCAAACTGTTAACGTGTCGGGCTGTGAATCGAAGGTTCTGGACTCAGAATGTGATATCGCCGAAGATGCTCCACACTTTATACAAGTTTGTTTGTTTTGAATTTCGCGCAAAGCTACACGAGAGCTATCTGTGCTAGCCGCCCCTAATATAGCAGTGAAAGGCTAGAGGGAAGGCAGCTAGTCATAACCACCCACCAGGGTTTATTTTAAGGAAATTTTAGAACTGCACAAAACTTTGAGGCAGGTGCCATGACCCAGTGTTTGAGATTCTCTGAGTCTGAGAAGCATTTGTTTCTAGA